TGACTCAAACAGAAATGTTGATGAAATCTGATAAGATTAAGCGATGCACTTACATTTATATTACTTTACTTTTTTTCCGTCAGCTTGCGTGAACAAGAACAAACGCTGTAAATTCTGGGCATTGGTCGGTAGATGCAAAAAAAATCCAAACTTCATCCTGTTCAATTGCCTCAAAAGTTGCGGAGTCTGTTAGGTATGCATGCGCACAAGTAATCGTTAAAAAAATCAAATAGAATAGCGGAAACCTTAAAAGGTTTTGAAATTTTGTGTTTCTTTTTAATGGTATGTTAAATTCTCTTACTAATTTACGTGTAGTGATGAGCATTCTTTTCTTTTAAAAAAGTCACAGAGGTTTACTCTCTCTCGAAAAAAGTGCGATTTGTCACCCTGTCCGTCTCACCAGCTGTCCTTTTAAATTCATCAATGTGGCTTAAATGGTTTTTAAATGGCTTTTATAAAAGGGAAAAAGACCAATGTAAGTAAATTAGAGGAAAATGCACAATCACGCTCGCTGCAGAACGAACGAGAACCTCCCCCCTTTCGGTATTTAAATTGAGAGGTCTCTAATGAGATACGAAGGAGTTCAAAAGGAAAACGAGGACAGTGGTAGGAGAAATTTCCAATTTCAAGAAAAATTGACTTAAGTGGGTGGAACTTCGAAAATGCAATTCAGCTATATAAAAAACCTTAGCCTTCGGTGAATCACGGTGGTGTTTTGTTTTGTTTGTTTTTTCTTATTGCAGAATCGAAGTGAAACACATCTGACCTGTCTTCTTCCGGATCAGATGGAAAAGATTTGAGGCAGTAGTCTTATTTTGCCAGCATAATTTGGATTGGGTGAAGGAAAATGCTGGGTTCCCAATGTAAGTGTTTTTTTTCGCTGTGCTTAATGTAGAATTTCATGCCTCGTTATCTGGAAAATAAAACAAATGATTAACTCAAAGGCTGTGGTTGATTCTCTTTGTTATTCGCAACCATTTCTTAATTAAACCCAAGAGGTTCAAAACGAGAAAAGACGAAGGGGAAGGGATAAATTGATTGAAATTGAAAAATAATTCGCGTTGATATGGCAGTTTAACTTAAACCGACCATTTTTTTTTTATCTACCTACAGACGGGATGGCCCAATAGTCAATGCGCTGGATTTCGTTTCGAGAGGTCTGGGTTCGAGACCTGACGGGTTTTGTGTTGTGTTCCTGGGCAAAACACTTTATTCTCACAGTACCTCTCTCTACCCAGGAGTATAAAAGGTACCGAGGAATTATTAGGGAAGATGAAATGTAAAAGGGTAGCCTCATGGTATACTGGCATCCCATCATGCCAAGGGAACCGAGTTAAACTATAGCTGGGTGGGCCACGTGACTCGAATACAGACATTTACATTTTTTACCCACCTACATCTACAAAATACATACTTGATTTAAATTCGACGCTGTTTCACAATTCTATTTCCATATTTTCTTTGTGAATCTACCAAACTAGTGATATCATTTCAAGAAATTGAAGACCGGCAAACTGTGCAAATAAAATAAACATTCCCAAAATTAATGTTTTTTTTGTCAATACAAAGCAAACATGAGACTGAGCCAGTGTTATTAATTGAGCTAAATGAAAAAAAATTATCACAGTAATAGATTAACTGCCTCTTAGTTTTCTGGATAAAGTGATAATGAAATGGCTTAATACGCGCAACAGATTGAAGGTCAGTGTATAATGATTATTCGAAAACTAAACTCTTCTCCAGCAATAGTTTACGCAACACCAAGAAAAGCCATAAATCGAACTCGTAGATTGAACCAGTTAACAAGACAGTGTTTTTCTTATTTCCATGGGCCGTTACGCCTAACGACAAGTAGGAGAGTGAAAGCAGGCTCAGATCAAATGATGAAAATAACTGAAATTAAAGTGGCACCAAATAACTGATCGAAAACTGAGGGTTGCAGGAGATTCTGCGTTCGCACAAAAATATTCATACACTTATTGATGCTGCCACCCGGAATTTGCTCAACCTTGTAAACGAACCTTTTTTTTGAAAGCTCCTGGAACAAAATTTGTCGTAAATCAGAATCGCAGGAAATCAGATTCCTTACGTTTATGCGCTAATACAATAGGTCCTCCATACCAATTTAAGTGTTGGCTTTCTCTACTAGCAAGAAGTCGTGTTTCGGCGTTGGGGATTTGGTTTGTTTGACTTATTCAGTATGAGAAGGAAGAGGAACTGAGCTGAGCTATTAAATAAGCTATCGTGCATTTGACTAGAGGGTGGGTAGGTAGGGGGGGGTAAGTTTCTGAAGAAACTGCGGCGCTGCGTCGGTGGGGTGGGTTCGGTGGACGTTTCGAGCGTTAGTCTTTCACTCTGGGGGGATGGTAGCAGTTAAGTTTGGCAAGTTTTCATTTCCAACATACGTGAATGTTTGATTTTATCGCATCTTCCTTCACTAGATTTAGAAGGAAGCCAACATTTATGCCAAAGTTTAATTCGAATCTATGACGTAATAACACGTATCGATTCAAAGAACGATCAAGAATTCTAATGTCAGAGGAAGGAAAGGAACGAAATATTGTGATTTCCTCTCTCTTTTATAGGGGGGTGGGGTGAGGAGGTTGTATCAAATCCACCGAGAGATGGGGATGTCAGTCCATTAGTGGACGTGCACATACTTCGATTCTGTCCCTTCCCTTCATACTGTCTGGTCCATACTCGGCTAAAACAGCATTGCAATTTTTAAGGCTCCCTCACTCATACGCAAACATTCCCAGTGAACATAGCAACTGCTCTGTATTCCGCAGCTCGCAATGAAGAGTGCATAGGTTTACATCACACA